TCTTAAATTAAAGGGCCTTGGACTCCCTTCCATTCTTCATTTGTGCAGTTGTGAAGAAGAGTACTTATCACATTTTTTTGTTATACAGTATGCTATGGAGATTTGGAATTGGTTTGCAGGTCTTCTGAAGTTTTCTTTATCGGGGTTACTCATCCTTCAAGGACTGCATTGAGGATTGGAAACAGCTTGGTAATCCGGTTTTTATCATATTTCTTCCTTTCATTTGCTGGTTTATCTGTTAGCTAAGAACAATATGAAGTAATTTAAATCAGTGGGAGAGCCCTAAATCAAATTTCTGTTATTTACTTGCTCATCTTGGAAAGGTGATTAAATATGGAGGGATCAAGGATAGGTTTTTGACTGCTTTGCAAGTTTTTGCTAAGGATCTTAATACCCCCGTACAGATTAGAAGACAACAACCACGATTGATATTTTGGAAAAACCTGGGGTAGATTGGATCAAAATTAATGTTGATGATAGCTTCAATACCACTGCTGCTGGAATTTGGGGGTCTTTAGGAATCATAGTCGCAATGCTATGCTAATGTTTTCAGCTTGTACAGCTGTTGTCTCGCCTTTGTAAGGCAATGTTGATACAGTCCTTGCTACTCTTAGGATTGTAATGTTTTTGGGTTGGAACGAGCTTGTTGAAAGAAACTCTTTGGTTGTGGAAATGCTGCTCGTCATTAAGTTTCTTACACTGGCGCATTAATCTCCATCTCAAAAATATTCCTCAGGTCTCTCTTCAAGTAAGTATTATTGGACATATATTCCCAGGGAAGGGGGACCTGTTGACTGGCTTGTCAAAGAGGGTGCTTCTTCTCAAGTGAATTTTTTAAGTTACTTCTCCTCTTTGGTCTTCGTCCTCTTTGGTCTTCGTTTTTTTTTTTTTGGCTTTAAGAGGGATAGACTTTATCTTCCTATGTTAGAACTCCCTCTTTTGATATGTAACCACTTATTATTTTAATGGATTGTTTTGCTTTAAAAAATATTAATGAGTGTTTTCTGCAAGTGCGTCAAAAAATATGAATTATTATATTACAACCATATCTCATGTTGTTTTTATAACAATATTAATAGCCTAGGATATGCTATTCTGTATATCTAGACCATTTACGAGATAAATTTTCTTTATATAATTTGGTTTTATGATTATATTCATTCATACATAAATTTATGAGATAAATTTTCTTATATAATTTATTTTTGTGATTATATTCATATATACATACATTTAAAAAATGTATTTAAAAAATCTATGTGAGTAGGGTGACAAATCATAGCTTGTTTAAATTCTTAGGAGGCTAGTCTTGTTAATCTGTCAAATCATACGAGTATGTTTTTTGTTACACTGACTCACATACACTTAGATGTTTTGATAGACATATATATTATAGATACTTGTTCAATCTAGGTTTGTGTGTAGTTAGGATTTTTATATATACGATCATTATTGTGTGTTTGTTTGTGCCTAGTCGTGCATTATAGTATTTTTTTATATTTACCTATTGTGTGTTTGTTTGTGCCTAGTCGTGCATTATATGTGATGTATTTTTTTATATTTACTGAGTTTGAGAATTACACACTAGATCAAAAAAAGAGAATCATGTATTCTCTTTTTTTGTTGCAGGTGTTAGTTATGTATTCTCAACCTAGACTTGATTCACTTATGCATTGCATGTTTTGTGTATGTGCACTAACATTTGTTTTATAGGGAATCTAGTATGTTCTCTTATCTCTTCTCTTTTATTTTTTAGTCTAGAAAGAGTTTGAATTAGAAATGAGGAAATGGACATTATTCTCATGAAACTTTAGGACTAAGACCCTACATTTATGAAGATTAGAAGCAGAATGCTCATGTCCTATACCTTAATTCTAGAATCTCTATTTTTATATAAATTTAGGATCATGTTGTTTATGTGGCCCGTACAACTTTTTTTAGGATATGTTGTCGACCCAATGACACCTGACATTTTTTTTATTTTTTTATTTGTGTTTTAATCTTTCCATGCACACATGTTACTTTACATGATTTAATCTTGATTGTTGTTTGTCTGGGCTCACGTGAATGCATAGGCTCTTGGGGCAAAACATGTTTTATGTGAAATTCTAATATTTTTATAAATAAGAAGTGAATGGTAGGCTCACCCACTTTTTTTAATAAAAAGAATTTCTTTTATTACATGACATGGCCATACTTCACAAAATTAAAAGATTTAAAATTTAAAACAGAGTTTCTCTTGTGACCGTGAGTCTGCAAGTTACAATTTATGCTTCACATACCAAAAATAAAGAGAATTATTTCCAACATTGAATCAGGGTTGGCTAATATGCATTTCATAGTTTTACTCATGCATTTTAAAAGAGAGTCAATATTAGGGAAAAACTATTATTGAATCATATCATGCTCCTAGGGAGTATATTTCTTTTCACCATATTGGACATAAGATTTATTCTTTAAATGGATGTCTAAAATATTTTGGGCATTAGTGGTAGTTGTGAACCAGACAAAATTATATGTCTACATTGGGTTACTTTTGATATTTGTGGTCAAGTTATCCCTTCTTTTGTTTTTTTATAGGCCTGTTCTCACATATTGAGAAAAATAAGTTTTACTCCTCGCCCACTCTACTGGATTTAGTCATAGGATTGTCGGGCAATTTTTTACCCCACTTTTGAGTCTATGAAATTTATTTGGATGACTGCAACTTATTAATTGTTGAAATAAACTTTAAGGTTGAATTGAGTCAGCCACCTCTACTGCAAAATAAGCTTAACGTTCTGTGGACCTGAGGTGATAGATGCATGATATTTAGACTAGGTCATGCGTACTGATCTTAAAATTTCATTACTCATCTTTTGATATTTTTTTTTGGGCTCATCTATTTCATTGATATATTTTTATTTATATTGTTTAGTAGACCCTTTCTTGTCGAGAGATGATTTCAGCCTTGTAATTTGATTTTAGCATCAACATTAGTAGGTTTTCCTATTGAAATGATGAACTTTTTTTTATAACCCTATCAAAAATTCTAAATACAAGTAAATTTTCTTAATGCAGAGTTTTCATGAGTATTATCTCAAATGTAATTAACCAAAGGACTATGTTCTTTTGGGTGTGTGCATGTACCTAGTATAAAAATAATATTTGATTTTCTGGTTATATGTGAGGGTATTCTTAGGTCTTCTTCAGGATTTGGATAGGATCTTTTTATGAGCTTTCAAGTGATCCTGCAAAGACTTTCCTATGAAAATCTTTCTATGTTTCTTTTTGTTATGTTTGCATATTCTATCTATTTTCCTACCTATATCATCTTTATCTTTGTGATAAGGTAGTGAGCTTAATTTAGTGAAGGGGTTGCTTGAGAGGGGAGGCATAAGAATTATGCAAACCCAACAAAAATGGGGTGAATAGAGCGATTGAGCATAGCTGACGGAGCTAGGTTTTCAGTCTTAGTTGAGGGGGTGTTATGTCTTGTTATAGAGGTTGATGACAAACTGAACGGTTGGATAACAACTATCATTTATCTCACCATTCTTGGCTCCGTTTTAAATTCCGTTTAATATGCCCGTTTTAACCATCTATTTATGACCCTATTCGATGAAATCTAGAATTAATTCTGAGAGTTGAATTGTCCATTTTAACCATCTGGCAGGATTTCTCAAATCTTTCTATAAATCTCCTGCCAGACAACGGCTCATTCATTGTTAAATATTTGAGATATCAAGATTATTTCTAAATCCAGCCTTACACTGAATGTAATTACATTCCCTACATGGCTTCATTATCCTTGGCATTCTTTGAGAGTAGTGACGGCTTTCTTTCATGCAATTGAATAAAAAGAATTATTTATTAGGTTGTGAAACTTTCAAAACATAAAATTAACTTTGAAAGTAATATCAAATTGTTTTTATAAAATTAATCTTTTTATTATGCTTCATTGTTTTTTATTTTTTTTAAATTATTTTTTGAAAGTATATTTTCTTAGGGTGTTTAATTTTATTTATGACTATTAGAGACAAATGTGAAACGATTGCATCCGTGTAAGGGTTTGTGTAGCTTCAGTGGCAAACATGATTAGAGATAGTTGTCTTATTAGATGGTTTGGTCATATTAAACGTTGATCATCTGATGATGTGGTTAGAAGAGTAGGTGTATTAGATTAGATTTATGCAAAGAACGGTAGAGGCATACCTAAAAAGATTTGGGCTTGTTGTATAAAAAATTAAGCTTAATTTATTAGAATTAAATAAAAATTTGGCATTCAACAGGACTCAAAGGAGAAAAAGATTCATGTAGCTGACCCCACTTAAATGGGTTTTAGGCTTGTTGTTGCTGTTGTTGCTGCGTCACCGAAATTTGGCTTGTCTGTGAGTATATGACAATCCTCTGGAATGTGATTAAAACAATCGTCCATCCATTTCAGAATTATTTCCCTGGTTCCTGCCATTACCATATTTTTTATGAGCAAGTGCTGTTTTGGTGATTTCCCTGCCGAGTGTTATTGAAATTGTGGACTACCTTGTTAGCTTTATCATATTATTTGTTTTTCTATTTGCTAATAACTTTAAGCGAATGGAGTAATATACATACCCTGGAATTAAACTAATTCTATGTTTTCTGCTTTACAACTGTTTTTTTCTTCCTTTTTAAGCTATTCAACCATTGAGGTGCTATAACTTGTTTGTGAAGAAGAGATGTGATTGTATTTTATTGTTTTTTCTTTTCTTCACATAGTAAATCAAGTTGCATGGGTATTTCATGGATTTAATCTGCATATAATCTAACCAGTGGCCTTTTGGATTTCTCTTTTGCATTGTTTACGTCCTCCCTTTTGGATAGAGGTTCTGTGGCATATTATTATTATTTTTCTTTTTTTTATCATTTGAGTTATAATATTCGATAAATTTCTTCAAGTTTTTAACCTTTTGGCGCCAGAGTATTTTTATGGCGTAAGTTTCACAATAATATGGATGTTTTCTTATATTTATGTCACACAGAGTAAGAGATGAGGCATGCTGTGGTTCCAAGTCTAAAGCATGTCGTGAGAAAATGCGCCGGGACAGATTAAATGATAGGTACTACTCATGTAATCCAATTGCTGACTTTTCTTTCAGTTGAGTCTGTAGAAGAATGGTTGATCACCACTACACTTGTTTTTGATAATTCTTCATAATTGTTTTCTTGTGTTACTTTTTTCCCGTTAGGTTTTTGGAATTGAGTTCTGTCCTTGATCCGGGCAGACCATCAAAAACAGATAAGGCAAGTATTTTAAGTGATGCAGTTCGTGTATTGGCACAATTAAAGGGTGAAGCTGAGCAGCTTGAAGAGGCAAATGAGAAGCTTCAGGAGACCATCAAACAACTAAAGGTTTGGAGTGACGCCATGCTATATTTTTCTTAAAAGAATGAAATGACCGTAGCTTTGTTCAGTACAGTCGATCAACTTGCTTTGCTTCTCTAGATCATTTTGTTTTAGTATTAATGAAGTAATCAAGGAGAGAAACAAAACCAAATTGGTGGAAACAGTGATTAACTGTGCTTTTTCTTCCTCCATTTAGATTGTCAGTTACTCTGTTAATTTTCAGGTCAATTTTATTATGGACTAGATGTCCCTCTTAAATCTTTTGAAAAAATTAATTAATGTTGCTATTTGCTTGCTTGGCATTCTATTTCAGCGGGCATGTAGAATTTCTTAACATATATTTGTTATTGAACTACAGGTTGAGAAGAACGAGCTTCGAGAAGAAAAGTTGGGGTTGAAGTTGGACAAAGAGAAATTGGAACAGCAGTTAAAGGTGACAAGTATTCCTCCGGCAGGATTTATGCCACCATCAATTGCACTACCTCCTGCTGCCAGCCCTGCTATTTTGGCTGCTCATGGTCAAGCACCTGCACAAAAGGCCCTTCCCTTCAATACATTTCCTAGTTTGGCCATGTGGCAATGGCTACCTCCTGCTTTTCTCGACACAACCCAAGATCCAAAGCTTTGGCCTCCACATGCTTAGCCTCTTGAATGATCTACTACAACTAATCTTCTCAGCTTTGTTATCTGATTCTAAATTCTTTTCTTGCTTATTTATGTGATAAATCTTATAGCGATTCAGTTTATGCATTTCAACTGGCATCTGTTATGAGCCCACCTGTAAGATACATTCGGATCAGATATATATACCATTTATTGTATACGAATGATCCGTCTCTTCCTTTCATGTCCCCTTCTATTTCATGCTTACCAATATTTTTTTTCTTCACGCAAAATGGCATGGGGTTTAGGAAATTAGGCCAGATTCTGCTAGCTTTGAAGAAATAAATCTAGATTCTGCTAGCTTTGAAAAGTGTTTCGTGGTTTCCAATGCTCAATTTTTTGTTGTATTGCATTTTTTTTTCCTGCTGGCTCAAGAAAAGAACGGGCATTTTGTATAGATTTTGATTTAATTCTTGATATGTGGCTAGCTATTTCTTTTTTAGCTCTTAACAAAGGAGATATGGTTAAACACACCTCTAGAAGAGCAATGGAAGAAGCAAAGAATTGGCTAAGAGGAGGATTTTTGTGTTTTCCAAGAGGAAAATTAGGTTATATTATTCAAAGACCAACTTCTGTTACATAAATTTCTCCCTTTTATATAGGAGAATTTATTGCATATCATATACATGTGTTCATTACATATAGAACTCTAGAGCTCTTTGGTTTATTCTCGTCTTTTTTTGACATTGGTGTATGGTTAATATTATTTTCGAAATATTATTCTCTGGCGGCTTCACATTTCACATTCTATTTTTTGTGCACTAGTCAGGTCACATTTTTTTCACCTTGTTCGGTTCTTGGAGCGGTTTGCCGGCCAAAATGACTGATGCAAATTGGATCTTTTTCGGTAGGGTTGGTTTGACACTGTAGAGTGGTCCTGGCTACATTGGAGGACTCCTTGATGAAGTATTTGTTTGGTAGTTTGTACTCAGCAGCTTGTGCTTTGCAGTTTCATTTATCCTGACTTGGTTAACTGAGCCGAAGGATCAAAGATCTTTTTTGGTGCATCATCTGGATCTGGGCTCTAATTTTTGTATGACCGTATTTTAGCTCTATATATTTATTTTTTCGATTGTTTTGTTTCTTTGGAAACAAATTTATGAAATGAATTAAGAAAATGAAAGTACATTTGTCAATAGGTTAAAATTTCATATTAGCTTGAAGTTTGGGTTGTTCAACTCTTATAAATAAAGCGATAAAAGTGTCAATTGATAATAAAGCGATAATTACACTTTCCTTTGTTATTATTATTATTATTATTATTATTATTATTATTTTATCTTCGAATAACATCTCATCTATTCAAATTATTTAGATGGATAATATTATAGAATACTTTGATCCCCAACTCAAAACTCGTCGAGGGCTTGTTCAACAATCGCAAGCAAGAAGATGACTCAAAAAAGTAATGAATGGTTGAATGGATACTCGTTCATGATTAGGATTAGCTTCCTAGGGGTTCTTGATTATTGATGTGGATTTGTTGAGGATGATTCTATTCGAGGGTTTGTCTGGGTCTTTGCCTGCTAGTTGATGTTAGCGAATCAGGCGGCTTACTTATGATCTCCTAATTCTAGCTTGAATGTGACTTAGATAGTACAAAAATATCCATTAGTACTATATTGAGCTGAAAACACGATGATATCATATTTTATCTATTTTTTTTGTTGTAGTGACTTTTTTATTTATCAAACTCATGGGTAATGGCAATGATACAAATATTATGAGCAAATTAAACCCGAATATGATGCAAGATCCCTTTGAGGGAAAGAACAATTTGGTTAAGGAGGAAGATGATCATTAATCCCCTGTCGAAGTTTCTTCATTGGGTATAAAAGTGTGTGGCAGATGCTATGAATGGGAATCCAAAAGAATAGGTGGTTGCAACCCTCAGATTATGACATCGTTTATATATACAGGACTTGGAGGATTCGCCCTTGTGCATTTCAAATTCTCCCTTCACTGCTGAATTGAATCCACCAAACTCGGACAAAAGTTGGCTGAGTAGAAGTTTGAAGTCCTCAATTTGAAGAAAACTCTAGCTGGAATTGAAGAAAGAGTTAGCTGAATTGAATGATAAGTGCCTCGTTATTTGGGGCTTGGTTGACTTCTAGTAGAATTGCTTCAGATTCTTCTGTTAGGTTTTAATTTTCGGCCATTTAATGTGTGCATATTGGTGTGCATTGTAAAATTGATTTGTGCTAAGTTGTTTAAAAGTAAAGTTTTTATGATAAATAGCTACAAAATTTTGTTCTGGTGCCTCATTTTGAATGCATATTTTGAATCTATTATTCTTTCTTCACCATTTTACCCCCATACTAATTATAATCTCCTATAAAAGTGATATCCACACTGTGTTCACCATTTGCGAGTGTTTCCTTTTTATTTTCTACGGTTTCTCTTCAAGAAGGCATCCATCATTTGTTCTGGCTATATGGTTTTTGGGGAAGCTCATCTGTAAGGGAAATTCAAGATGTCTGCGTAACATAAGTTCGTGTTTACCTCATCAATTCATCTACGAGTGGCCAAAAAGGAGGAGAATTCGACCTTGTTGGATAATAAAGTGTTATTGTTTTATCATGAAAAGTTTAGACTTTGGGTTGCGGATCATTTCTGCTAGAAGCTAATCGACAACTTTGATTTTTATTGGGTCATACACATGAAGGTCGTGCCAAATTCATTCACTGTGATCGTTAGAGTAGTCCTTTTCATGAAGAAGACAAAGATTCATGGTGGATTAGCCATTTTTGAGTGCTCTTCGTCATAAAAATCTATAATGATGGGTTTATCTACTTCGTTAGGACTGGAACAAACTATTTGGCCTTGAGAATGTGTTGACGATTGCAAGAGGAAGTTTTGTTTTGCCTCGTTCGAGTAAGTGTGGTTGGTTGGAACTTGACTCGATATATGGTTGGAATAAGAACAAGTTTATGTTGTCCTTCGAAGTGTTCATCTACTACTCCACTACTAAATAATAAATATGGCGGTGTTCAATCTGAATAAGTTCCCTGATGGCATACTGACTCAATTTGAATAAGTTCCTCGATGACATACTGACTCAAACATATTATATATGCCAGTTATTTCTCCATTAATCATGTTTTCGCAGCATATTAGTTAGCATTTTCTTAAGCCTATTTGTTTGGCGAGGCTAAGGACAATGAGATTTTCCCATTCTTGGTCGAGGAACGGGTTGTCAAACTTGTCGATGTAGGTTGATGCACATTTCACTTAAATTGTTTTTTAGCTAATAGTCATTTTATTTTTACATTCTTGTTCTTATGCCTTCTCCTAAATTGAAAAAAAAAAAGATCATTTGTTCTTATGCCTTCTCCTAAATTGAAAAAAAAAAGATCAACAAAACCAAAAGTTTGTTTCTATATACCTGATGCAATTCTTTAAAAAGAGGGATTGACAAAATAATAATTAAGTTAAGAATATGCTTTCTTCTAGGTCTAGAAGGGAGGTGGATTAATTTGATTTCTCTTGTGAATGTTGCTCTATCAACCACTACAGAAGAAGGAAGACCACTCACAATTGTTGATAAGTCAATAAGGACTGAGCTTGTCCCATACAACTTTAGAAATAGCTCTTGTAGATGCCAAGTCTCCCGCAAGTAGCAAGGTTGACCCCTCAATGGTTGTGGGTGACTACTATGCAAAGAAATAGGCATCTATTGCCAAGATGAAGCTACAAAGGGAGCAAAAGGGGATGCAATAAAGAGGCAACTTCAGAGGCTTGCTTGCAAGTAAAAGGGCAAGGAATTCATGAAAGCTCCAACTATGAAAGATGAGCTTATAACTAATAAATTGAAGATAACTCTCCCACTGAATATGGATTCTGAACTGGAGCCTTTAAAAAAAAGAAAGGATATTGACATTTGAGATTGGATAAAGATTGGATGTTGGATTAGACCTATCAATTAATTGGAACACCAGGTTGAATGAGACGCTTCCCCTTGTGCATCATTTGGGTTCAACCCCCAGTTTATTTTCCTTGGAGAAGATAATAAAAAAGATAGATTAAGAGAAATGTAATTAGCTTCTATTAACGTGCCTATGTTGACTTGGAAAATCTCACTCCTTGGTGAGCTCTTTTAAGATAATAATAGACCTCACGAAACAAAGATAAGAGATGAGGGGCTATGAGAAAGAAATTGTTGGGATGCTGGAGGACAAGGCCAAATAGGTCCTGATAAAGAAACATAAAGTGCCCCTGATAAAGACCTCTGAAGGAATAAAAGAAGTTGAAGTTGATATCCACTCATATGACCGATTTGCTGGAAGCTCCCTGATAGTGAATATAATTTCTAAAATGGGAATTTTTTGATCTGAAGGTGAGATTCTTTGAACTCGAAAGAAAATTACATGAGCTTAGAAGTAGACATCTACTCTGAAGGCTCCTGTAGTGTTCATAAAGTCGCTATCTTGGTGTGTTGCTTAGAAGAATACATTCCAAGAAAGTTCGTAGATGGAGTCATCTACTACCTTGAGAACTTGTGGCAAAAGCAAGTTCTCCCTTTGGAATGATAATTTATAAAGAATTTTGAATAAATACTTGAAAGCTTTAGTTACAAAGAGGGGGAAACAACAAATAAGATGAGAGTGGGGTGAGTTCGACCAACATGTAACCATTTTCATTTGGCAAACTTGTTGTTTTTATTTTTAGTTTGGTTATATTTTTTGCCAATATATAATATATTTGATCTCTTGTTTGATGACACAATCATATTTTTATACTTTAATATTATGTAATTCTTTATGTCGGTAACCTAAATCATGTTAGGCGAGTAATTTCATCTTGACTTTTGAAAAATAGATTGTTTTGACAACAAACATCATTGGAATTTTTGTGGATAAAAAAATAAAAAATTCATAGGAAGATCTGAGAATTCATCATTATAAAGAGATACATGTATTCTTAACAATAATGTAAATATAGTGACGAGTTGTTAATTTAAAATTTGTAAAATAATCTCTTTTAGTTATTGAAAAAAGAATAATTTTTTACCAAATTATCGAGAATGCTTCTTCTACAAATGCATATGTATTTGATGGATTTTGAAAGACATTGCTTGGAAAAATTATTTAAGAGTATCTTTTTGGATTTTTCAAAGTATCTCGCTAATTTTTATAAGTAGCTTAAGTCTAACACTACTCATGCCCTTGTATATCTTTCTTACTTGTTGTCTTTAATAGGTCCTACCTAATGTCAGAATTAATAAAAAAAATTTAAAACAATCTTTAAGGA